AAACAGTGCATCTCTGACTCTCAATTCCAAGAAATGGAAGTCCTACTCTATTTGACCAAAGGGGTGACAGGTGGCCAAAACATATTAAATGTAGGTCATACACTGAAAATAACTCTGATTTAAAACACTACAAATATACACCTTTCTCTAATATACTCGATAGATAATCTTAACAAGGGAACATGTACATAAAATGCTTTAACTCTTTCCATGATATAACATAATAGGTGTTGGGGATACGATGCCAATTTTTATTCACATTGACACATAAAATAACAAACTTTTCATATAAATACATAAAATCCTCCTTTCTTAACACTAGTAAAATCTATCAGTAAAACAGGCTGCCCAGGGAGGTGGGCGGGTGTCTTTACATCGTCGACTGCAGCCGCGAGACTGACTCTTCGTCCCGTATGACGACGAGTCGCATGTCTGTACGCACGCCGCGCACGTGCAAGCTTGCGTGGCGGGTGCCGTTTTCCCGATACTGGCGGTGAGGCGCCCGTCTGTCCATGACCTGGAGTTAAACTTTAATAATATAAATTATTACCCCTTAACTCTTTCCATGATATAACATAATAGGTGTTGGGGATACGATGCCAATTTTTATTCACATTGACACATAAAATAACAAACTTTTCATATAAATACATAAAATCCTCCAACCCCCAACACCTATTCTGCACATGATGCTGCTATTATCATTGCTTTTGAAAGTTTATCATGGGTTACTCCATCTACAGAAACGTATCTTTCGTAAGCGTTTGATTTCCAGTCTCCATGGAGTTTAATGAGCATGGGTGACACGCCTATCTTGTAAGCGAAGGTACACCCCCCTCGCCTGAACGAATGGCCACTGTAGCTATCTGCCGGGTACCCACAGGCCCCCAGCACTTTCTTTAGTGCTGTAATAAAGGCGGTATACGTTAGACCACAGATCTTACCATCACACATGAAAGAAAACAGATGATTTGTAGGCGGTATCTTGCCTTGGATCTCACGCAGTGACCTGAGCGCTGTAACGGGGCACAAGGGGAACCCTTCAGACTGGCCAGTGGCAGTCGTAACACCCTCTGTCCGAACTGAATAGTCTTAGAATGTCGAATGGTCAGCATAGGCAGTAGCATCATTAACAATAACATCACGAACACACAATTGGCGATCAGGAGACTTACTTTGTTTACCAGGTAACAGTGTAGACTTTCTCATGAAGGTGAAGAAAGCCACCAAACATGCACTCCAAAATGCGATGTTAAATGGGATAGATAAATCGAGTTTAGATCTGATTTGTCGCAGAATGGTTGGCGTGATAGGTAATTTCTGTGCCGGTGGCTTGCCTTTAATACGCATGACACCCTTCTAACTAGACTTTAACGTCCATGCAGTGAGGGGGTTGTCAAAGCCAGAGTTGAGATGTAGTAGTCTGATGACGTTGAGGTATCCGGGTATACTGTTAGCGTTGAGAGAGCGCGCTAGGAAGGCTATGTACCGGCCTATAGTCAAAGTAGAAGCTGGAAGTGGTGTAAGACTGAAATATACGCAGAACCTGAGATAACATCGTATCATCGCAGAGTAGGTTTTCTTAGTCGTGTATGCATAGGCCGCCTGCTTGTATGATGTCAGCTCGGCGTCTAACCGACACAGATCTGCTACCACTGGGCCTGCAAAACGTCATAGAACCCAGAGAGTCATATGGTTTAACAAATTCATGTCATAACCAGCATTTTGTAACCATGACATATTGTCTTTTCTGTGGAGCCGAGAGATTTTGTCACTGATTGTGTTCCTCACACCCGGAATGTGTCTAGAGGTTAAGTGAAAGCCGTAGGATGCAGCTAGCCAAAATAAATGCCTTACTATCTTCATTGCTGCTGGGTTATGTTGAGAGGTACCTTTGTTAATAGCGTACATAGTTGCCGAGTTATCGGTATAAATAATCACATGTTTCCCGCTCCATGCCGCCGCCCATCTCTCCTCGCCGCCACGCCAACGATCGCAAGTTCCTTGATGTTGATATGTTCATTACACAGAAGCATACCATGTCAGAACGCCACGCTATATAAACCCAATCACGATTGTAAATGCCGCCGCCGCCAGTGTCGCACGCATCTGTCGCAAACTCCTCGTAGGATATTGGTTCGCCTTGGATTACAAAGGTAGTACCATTAAATATTGACATAAAATCTAACCACCACTTGATATCTGCTCTGGCGGAGGCATTAGTGCAATAAAGTGATGTTTTTGCCGGACACTGTTACATACGTCTATCAACCGTCTGAGAAACGTACGTCCCCACGGATTGCACGTGCTGCCCAGCTTAGCTTACCGATCAGTTTCTTTACACGTCGACTGCAGCCGCGAGACTGACTCTTCGTCCCGTATGACGACGAGTCGCATGCCCGTACGCACGCCGCGCACGTGCAAGCTTGCGTGGCGGGGTGCCGTTTTCCCGATACTGGCGGTGAGGCGCCCGTCTGTCCATGACCTGGAGTTAAACTTTAATAATATAAATTATTACCCCGATATCTAACAACACCTGTACTTTATATAATGGACTCTTCCAAATCTCGGTATGTTTCACTGCACACATATTAGATTGCAAATAATGAAAACCTACCCTTTGACAATAATAATAAAACATCATATTCAAATTCTACAGCTGACCAAATACCTTGAAGAGTGTGTTTTCCAGAAATAAACATCTCTATATATCAATCAATAAATGTATGACTTCTGTCCTCTCGCGTGCTATCTTGCATCCAGCTGTTTACGGCGGAAAACAATACGGCGCCAAGCAAGGAGTGCTCATTAAACTAAACATCTCCGGGAGAATCCTTGCATCAATTTTTTCTCTTAAATGATCAACCTTAATATATAAATGAAAATAAAGACCAACTATTATCACCAAAAGACCAAACATTATCACAAATATTCAAAACAGGTGGTAATGAAAGAGCATTATCATCTTCTTTCTCTTAAACTTGTGGTGATATACTGGTAAAACAAGTGGGAAATGTTAAAAACGTGTTACCTTAGCCTTGCTCCTTTATGTGATCCACAAAATTGCTGCCACCCAGTCTTCGAAGATGAGGATTTCTGCAAATTCCATTAAAATAATCTTATTTCATAATTAAATGTTCCTTACATTAAAGTTACTTCTTTTGTATGTAAGATTTAAACCTTTAAGAGACATGAATTATCATATCCCTTCCAAAACAAGTGTAAGAATGAAAGTCTGTGGGTGCAGTTTTGTTAATTGTCGCATCAAAGAAATCATTAGTGAAGTTACACTTTTTGTAAATAAATAAAAGTTCAAATAAATTATATACAATTTCATCCTTAACACAGACTTTCACAAGACATTTTAAAGTGAAAATTACGCCATTCTCCACCAACCAACCCCCAATAATATACATATGTTGATAGGGTTCAGGGCGTACTCAATGCATCATTTACTGATAGATCTATTCAAACGAACAAATGTTCATAATAATGGGATGCAATATAAAATGTTGATTAATCCTATCCGATTTTGTATAGCTGCCCTTAGGGGACCGTTCATAATGTATGGCTTTGGGGTGATGTTGATTTTATGTACAATGTGAATTATACCGCCCCTCTAAAAGTGTATGAGTATGTACAGAATAAGAGACGGCCCACCCTGCATGTCATGTACATTATCTATGACGCCCTCTCCCTTCCCATAATTTCTACACATAGTGCGTGTGTACAAAAATGCTGGACCCATTAGCTCCCCTGAAACAAAATGGGTGACACCCCACCCCACTCTCCAACCCTTACAATCAACACCACCACCCGCAGCCATATATTTAATTATGAACGGTTCCTTATATTGATGTACTTCATTGATTATTTGAAAATGTATATTTGCAAAATTCAAATCAGGTGATGGGGACGAAAGGAAATCTTATTCGATTATATAATAAATTATATATGCATGCAAATATATTGAAAAATAACAAAACAAAATTTTGAGAAACATGCACTGTGACATACCGGTAACCTTGTGAGATAAAAACATGAGCCCTAATTCGGAGTTTCTTGCTACTGCTAGATTTTAAACGGCATTCCTACGTTTTCATTATACATGAAGGACATACTTACCAAATAAACACCAGCATGCCGTGAAGATGGTGAAAATAGAACGATATTGCGTTGAACTTCGCCAAAGTGAACTGACAACGATCAGCTGCCTTTGCGCGCGCGATAATTGTGCGCATGTCCGGATATGGCCAAACGAGGCGATCGAAAGGTCAACATCTGGCTTGTGTTTGAAACAAATTATCGGGAATTATACAATTTTCGCAGTTTTGTGGGAAAATATCGAATGTAATGCAATTTGGATAACTGATGACTTTATACCTAAAACTGCGATTTACGTAATATTTCCGTCCGTGGATCGATGCACAATCAAATAATATATAAGATTATATCTGTCACTAGATCGATCTTGATTGTTCTCCCACAGGGACAGCATTCATTCAGAATAATGCACCTTCCTTTGTTCGCCGTGGGTCCAGACATTGAGACCCTCTATAGCACATTTGGAACTTTATCGGGCACAAGCGCGCATACCACCTGTTCAGAATTGGAAGCAGCTTTGCACAAAGAATGACGATAGCTACACGGGGTTTCTGCGACGTAAGGTACAGGCAGTTATCCAAGCACGAGGGGGGTACACTAGATATTATTTACAGCGTCCCATGTTACAGATAAGCGATTTTGATGCACCTCTGTCCTGCTCCACACGTGTAACACGTATTGTTTTGAGCCAAAACGGACATGGTTAAAACGTTGAAGCAAACTGTGTGTGTTTTCTTGTAGTGAAGACATTATCTTACAGAACAAAAAACATGCATCTTTACCAACGTACTGTGCGTGCACACCACTGTTGTTAGCCGAAACATACAACCATGTAACATTTTTACATGTGTTACATATTCCATTTGGTTATTTTCAGGTTCAAGAGTGTGCAAATGGCGGTATTCTACAACCCAACTCGAGTTGCCAGTGCGTCAATGGCTACGTTGGTACAAGGTGTGAACGTTTAATGACAGGTAGGTGGGTGGCGTGGGGAAGTGTGTGGAATTTCGCTTCATTTTCACTGTTTCAAAAACATTTGTGCATTTTTGACGTTTTGGATAGTACCCGTTTTCATATTAATGATTTCAGGTTATTACCAACTGTATTTATAAGTAATCTTAAAAATTAATTAATTTTTTTTCGCTACTGCCAACAAACTATTAACTTTTGGCAATTTCGGAACAAACTGTTCATTACAAATCAAATGGATGCTATCTAACAGTCACTGAAAATCACTAAGAGAAGCCCTAACAAATTTACAATTAATTCTTCGGAATACCAGTATTCTGACTCTCATGGAAAACGATTGATTGTCCGTATTTCATTATAGGAAACGGGGCGATAGGGTAGCCTTGTGGTTAAAGCGTTTGCTCGTCATGCCGAAGACCCGGGTTCGAGTCCCCACATGGGTACATTGTGTGAAGCCCATTTCTGGTGTCCCCCGCCGCGATATTGCTGGAATATTGCTAAAAACGGCGTAAAACCATACTCACTCACTCACTCATTATAAGGTACGGAAAAACAATCACTGCTATTTCCGAACAGATGATTTATTTTGATAATCGTTGTTCACGAAACTACAGGTGTGACAGCAGAGAACAGCACAATTTCATGCACAAGAATAATTCAAATGTGTTACTTCACGAAAACGTTCCAGTCAGCTTTCGAAAAATGTCCACAAGGTGATGTTGTTAAAAATAATAACTACATCTACATCATGTAAAGGAAAATGGGGATCAATCAATACATTTAACCTGCATTGCTCCACACACAAACGCACAATAAAAAATGTGCAAAGAATTATCATTGTTGAAGCTTATTGGGTGATGAAATTGCCAGTTAGTGAACCAGAGATTTGGATATGGACAAGCCGATTGTAAGAGCTGTCTCTGACTAACGAGAGATGTTCAAAACATTAGAACGTTATTATAACCAATGTTATAATGTCAATGCAACTGCTTATCCCAATACACAATGTAGTCTCTCAAATGAACATATTTTACAGAAGAAAATGGTTCCTAAATCATAATCATAAAATATAATAAAAGGGAGCTCAGAGACTTTCTTCATTTTATGAAACGGAAAGTGTGGTAATCTAGACTTGCCACGTGTTCTAGACTTGGACTTTCTTGGTTATATTTGTTTCAGGGTCTATATGTAGACTATGCAACCATTGTAACGCCAAAGGCTGGCATCAATGCATATTCTGTCAATGACGTGGTTTTAGCACTATGAAACAGGGTGTAACGAGGTCAACAAATCAAGTTCATTTCAGACGAATTCAACAATGAACTTAGTATATACCCCTATAAAACCTACAGGCATATCAAGCCATTGGACAATTGCGCATATTGATGCCCATGCTGTTGATCACTGGATTGTCTGGTCCAGACTCGATTATTTACAGACCGACGCCATATAGCTGGAATATAGCTGAGTGCGGCGTAAGACTAAACTCACTCACTCACGCACACTCAAGCCATTGGATTTACCAACTAAATGAGACATAGGTCACATAAATCGAAACCGTACATTGGGAGCTAGGGTCTTCGAAAGCTGCGCCATTTTGTTGGTTGGGTTAATTTGTTGGTTTTATTTTTGGTGTTTTCTTGTTATTTTGTTTGTTTGTTTGTTTGTTGTTGTTGTTGTTGTTGTTGTTGTTTGGGGTGTGTGGTGTGCGTTACAAGCCGATGTGCATTTAACAGGTTTTGACACCAAGTGAACACGAAAAGGGAAACCATGTCGGGTAGTACCTGACTTGCACAGTAATTGTCTGTTGTCTGACCTCGCAGATCTGCATTCTTCTTGTGCAATGGCATCCTGTACACAAACTAGACAATTGGGTGATACATGGTCGTGATAATCTGATCACATGAAACAAAAGGAAAACAAATCTGTTGTGTAAATATCTCTCCCGTCTCCAAGGTTCTGTTGTGTAACCCACCATGTGTATCCCGTCAACACGTTTTGTAACATCTCATCAGGATTCATTTAAAAATATTTCTTTTATGAACACATTTTAAGAAATCGATATATTGACGCTTCTTAAATATCGACTCGGTTTCTTGATCTACTTTTGTCAATATGGGTTCTTACTTGTTCTGAAACCGTTTCGCAGACACAATTGTGAAATTCAGACCAAGGTTTTCCTTTCAGAGGTCCTTACTCAATAAAAAAATTCGAACAAATAAATCTATATTGTCCAGGTACCTGATCAAATAAAGATACGTTCATTATAAACGTGATTTTGAAATATTGATAATCAGAGACAATATCAATAATACGTTTTTGTTATGAAAGCAAATATTGATAATCAGAGACAATCTCCGTACCAAATTATTGAGCGCTTTATTTATGGTGATCCATTCATATAATATTCACCGCTATTTAACCTTACAGACATGCATGCGTGATGTTTTTCAGCGTTGGCGGTCTGTCCTGACAGTTTACAGTAGGAAATGACCGTTATGAACCAAGCATTATTTACAAGACCTTGTAGGTGTAGGACTGTTTAAAAGACTGTTTAAATGATTTGTATATAACTGATAGGGTGATGAAACAAAGAAGGGCCAGTTATTATGCATTTTTGTAAATGATCATTGCGGTGCGTGGAATCGTAACCATGGTGATTTCTCGATCTACCCATTCACTGGTGTAGCTGCCCTGCATTTTTTGTACGTGATGAAAGCAACAGCTGTTGTTATTTTTCTAATTGCGTGTCGTCTGGAGCTCACTTGGGAGTCCACGATCATATTGTTTTGCTGTTTTAAAGGGACGCACCGCTGCACGTCTGATCCCTTGTGCTCCCATCTTTGTATAGAATATGTTATAAATCTTCATCCATGTGTAATATTTTTGCAATATTTTGTTTTCAGATTGCAGTGATGGTAATGCAGGTGGTTTCGGATATCCCGACGGCTACTACAGCATCCAGCCAACATCTACATCTACGCCATTTACAGTGAGATGTCTCATGAGGTTACGTGGAAGAACAATTATCCAATACCGCATGGAAACACCAATTGCCACTGTCGACTTCAACCGGAGTTGGGCAGAATATCGTGACGGTTTCGGGTTGACCAACAAAGATCACTGGCTGGGACTGGAGAAGTTGTACCACATTTGTAAACCTGGAACATTTTCACTTAGGATTGAAATGAAATTTCGAGACAATTCCGTTAAGCAACAGTACTACGACAACTTTTATCTTTCAGACGAGGCAGATGGGTATCGTATGTATTTTTCGCGGACACGTGGTAAAAGAGGTGACCCTATAGGAGACTGTTTAACTCCGCTGAACGGTTCTGCATTCAGCACATACGACAGGGATAACGACAATGATGCCGGAAGTTGTGCAGTCAGATACGAAAGCGGGTTTTGGTTTGACGCATGCGCAGACTGTAATCCCAATGGTCGTCTGCTTCGTCCACTGAATGAGGAGCGAACAAATGTTGTGTCTGAGGTATTCTGGACAAACGACCTTGGCAAAACGGTACCCTACAGATTGTTCATGTGGCTGGTAGAACTGTGAGCATTTGATTTTGTACAAATAATCGGGTCTGGTGGTCTCAATGACTTGTTTGATGCATGTCATCGTATCAGAGGAATGTAGACAGATGCTCACTTCATCTGGCTCTGTCTCTAATTAGTTTTATTAGTCACTCATTCTCTCTCTCTCTCTCTCTCTCTCTCTCTCTCTCTCTCTCTCTCTCTCTCTCTCTCTCTCTCTCTCTCTCTCTCTCTCTCTCTCTCTCTCTCTCTCTCTCTCTCTCTCTCTCTCTCTCTCTCTCTCTCTCTCTCTCTCTCTCAGCTAATGGGTCAGACACAATGCCCGTCGCGTACTGATAAAAAACAACAGGAAAGTAAATTCTAAATGAATAAGTTATCAGCTGCAGTTAACTGTTGGCTACTTCTGTTTAGCCAACATCTTTGTTGTCGTATTATTTTTATTGTTCTTACATTAGAGGCATAGCTACCATTATAAAAAAATACGGACTGACATGATTGTTGCTAAGCAAGCCCTCAATACCATCTAAATATAAAGCTTTGCATCCTTTACTGGCTTGCTACGCGCCTGTACTTGTATATATCTGCTCCCCGCCTCTTAGCATTCACTCACCTGATAAGTAAATACTCCCAAACGTTTTGTTACTCATAACAAAGAAGCTGACATCTATAAAATTCTCTTTCATTGTAGAAATATTCAGCTTTAGATATTACTATTCGCAACAGCGCATGGACGTCTTAGTCGCGTTGAAAAACAAGTTGTATGTACAATTTGTACAGTGTGTTGGAATGCTTTGATATATTTATGTACAGATGTTTGAAGTATGTTCGTGTGATGGAGAAAGGGTCACATGACACAATAAACATTGTATGAAACTGAAGGTTGTCGATTACATGAGAACAAATCCTGAGTCGTAAGTGAAAGTTGTTTATCGACGTAGTCATAAACATGTCAGCAATGTGTGGAGTGGGTGAGTATATCTTTACGCCGCTTTGAGCAATATTCCAGCAACATCATGGCGGGGACACCAGAAAAGGGCTTCACACATTGTACGCATGTGGGAAATCGAACCGGGTCTTCGTCGTGACCAGCGAACGCTTGAACCACTTGGCTACCCCACCGCCCCAGCAATGTGTGGGAGTAACGCATATTCAACACACACTAGGAGACAGTTTTTTGTTAAAGGCCGCATCCAGCAGGGGGTTCGAATCCCCAGAAACACCCCACCACCCCTTTCAAAATTCCTGGATCCGCCCATGCAGTAGCATGCGTGACTGTATTTGTCCCACAGAGAGGAATTTAGGTAAATATTATACATTTGGACTTATGTCAGTGTGTCATCTTAGACTGACTGACTGAGTTTGGTTTTACGCCGCTTTTAGCAATATTCCAGCAACATCACGGCGGGGGACACCAGAAATGGGCTTCACGCACTGTACACATGTGGGGATTCGAACGCGGGTCTTCGGCGTGACAAGCCAACGCTCTAACCATTAGGCTACCCCACCGCCCCTGTCATCTTAGAACTTCTACTGTAAAATATCCACGCCCTCCACGATAGCCGCTGAAACATAAATATTTATCATCCAAAACTGTGTTCCACACGAGATATTGCTTGTGTGAGATCAGACGATATCTCCTATGAGATATCGCTTTGACAGTAGATTTTGTACAATGCCTGACAATGCTATGACGTCATGAACTTGATGACGTCACAATGCTATGACATCGCTGCACTGCAAGTCTAATGGTAGTACAGTGTTCAGAAATGTACATTTATCATTGAAAACTAATGAAGAATGATTTTTGATGATAAATAGAATCTCACCCTCGTGTCTACTGATATCAATTATATCAACACTTGTTGATAAAGGTAAAAATATTCTCGGCAAGCCTCGGATATTTGTAACTTTATCAACTCGTGTTGATATAATTGATATCAGTAGACACTTGGGTGAGATTCTCTAAATATTCACCGTGCTTACAGTACAGAATATAGGTCGGTTTTGGTGGGCATTACTTATATTTTCCCTTCATCTAAGAAGAATATGTGTGTGATTTTGTTGTGAAATAGTTCTCTTGGAAAGAGGGCGGTGAGGTAGCCAAGTGGTTAAAGCGTTCGCTCGTCACGCCGAAGGCCCGAGTTCGATTCCCCACATGGGTACAATGTGTGAAGCCCATTTCTGGTGTCCCCCGCAGTGATGTTGCTGGAATATTGCTAAAAGCGACGTAAAACCATACCCACTAAATCTCACTCTTGGAAAGAATGTAAGGGAAAAAAAACAGGCAGCATGTCTGCCTTTCATGCGATATAAACGGAGATGATAGTGAGAATTACTAGGACGACAGTTTGAATCACCAGGTAACGTGTTGAATTCAAGCGATTCTGCTTAAATATCCTAAATAACCTTTTCGTACCAAAACGAAGCTTGCCAAAAGTAAAAAGTGAAGTCTGGAACACTTAATTACGGCTCCTTTTCATGTATGTTTCAGAGATAACATGTTAACACCACAACACTAGAACTAATCCTGTGCTTATGTCTTCTCCAATTTACTAGAGTATGCGTAAAGCTAATTGCACGTTGAATAATTTAAAGTGTGTGCGTTTTTATAGAAACTGCAATGACATAGACATATTGTCTTGTTTGAAATGCAATATTATTACTACATTAGGACAACCAGGAGACAAGAACAGAAAAAATCTGTACTTACTCTGACATCCATATATGCACTCAAAACACCAGCTACTACGGTTCGGTTGTGTCACAAGTCTTGGGTTTGTTTTTCAACGTCAGCAGTGTCAATCAGCTTCAGCTTGAACTGTAAACTCACTCTTCAGAAAGCTAGATCACAATGTTATAGATACAATTAAAGGTTCTCATCAAGCCATTTGTTTATTGTGAGTGAGTTGAGTTTTACGCCGCACTCAGCAATATTCAAGCTATATGGCGGCGGTCACTCGAGTCTTGACCAGACAATCCAGTGATCAACATGAGCATCGATCTACGCAATTTTGATACGATAACATTTGGCAACCAAGTCAGTGAGCCTGACCACCCGATCCCGTTAGTCGCCGCTTACGACAAGCATGGGTTACTGAAGATCAATTCTAACCCGGACCTTCACGGGTGAGATAATAAAGACATGGGCATGACGTCACCACATTTACACAACCGCGGTCAGTCCACGCACAGGCAAACTGTAGCACAAGTAGGGTTGCGCAACAAAGAGAAAATGACCACTCTTCCTATATGCTTGTGAAGCGAGCAACGGTTGGCAACGTACTTCCCTCGCTTCGCTTCGAAAAATATTTCATTGGCTGGTTCATTTGCCGATGCACTCTTTGTGTGAGTTTATAGATGTTGGGTTTTGTAAATACATGCTCATTTTTTTGTGTTTAACATTTTGCCATCAACAGACACCATAACATGTCATGTGTACAAGTATCACACCTGCTTCTCTGTGTAATTGCATAATGTGACAGAGACAGAACTCGGGTGCACGAACCATGAATCAATGCGTTTTGTTTATGGTGTATAGCGTGATATAGCTGATATCTATTATACAGACCCAGTGCTTCAAGATCGGATGTCAGTCGTATTTTCACGACTTTCTCAATTATTTTTGACAAAAAGATAAATTTGAAACCGGTCGATATTTTTTTGAAAATGTTCTCATCAAGTCCATTCCTCTTCAGAAGCGGTTTCACAAGTGCTTTCTTGAATGATGCAGGTACACACAGCAGCCATTTACAAGACTGTGATTGACAATCTTTGTAATGACTGGCGCTAGAATGTCCAAGTGATCCAGACCCAGATGGGTCGGAACTGGGTCATGTGTGCAATAAGTTGGCTTTTAGTTTCTTGTGATCTTGATGATGTCAGATTCCAAGTAAGGTTCAAGTGTCTCCAAACTTGCTACTGTGGGGGAAGCAGAGTCAAGGTCGTTCCTGATAGTTTCGATTTTGATCAGAGAGAAACTGCTGAAATCTGACGCCAAGACGTCATAGCTTGCTGAATCAGGTAACACTTTCTTCTTTTCTCTGCCCATTAGAGAGAACATAAAGTTATGCAGAGCGCTCGGAGAAGTTGCTTCACTGATTCGAGTCTGGCAACAGTCAGATTTCGAATTTCTGATGAGTCTGGCAACTACGTTTCTTGATACTTTGTACATTTGCCTGTGTACCTCCAGGTTTGTTTTGCGCCATTTTAACCCTGATTTGCGACGATCTGCCTTGGCTGCTTTTATTTCCTTTGTATACCACGGTGCAGATTCTCTATCAGAGACCATCTTCACCTTACTTCGAGCATGTTTATCCTACAGCTGTTTCAAGGTGGTTTCATAACACTCACATAGAACTTCCAGGTCAGAGTGGATGTCAGATATCATCACCTTACTTTGAGCATGTTTATCCTACAGCTGTTTCAAGGTGGTTTCATGACACTCACATAGAACTTCCAGGTCAGAGTGGGTGTCAGATATCATCACCCTACTTTGAGCATGTTTATCCAACAGCTGTTTCAAGGTGGTTTCATAGCACACACATAGAACTTCCAGGTCAGAGTGGGTGTCAGATATCATCACCTTACTTTGAGCATGTTTATCCAACAGCTGTTTCAAGGTGGTTTCATAGCACTCACATAGAACTTCCAGGTCAGAGTGGGTGTCAGATATCATCACCTTACTTTGAGCATGTTTATCCAACAGCTGTTTCAAGGTGGTTTCATAGCACTCACATAGAACTTCCAGGTCAGAGTGGGTGTCAGATATCATCCTTACTTTGAGCATGTTTATCCAACAGCTGTTTCAAGGTGGTTTCATAGCACTCACATAGAACTTCCAGGTCAGAGTGGGTGTCAGATATCATCACCTTACTTTGAGCATGTTTATCCAACAGCTGTTTCAAGGTGGTTTCATAGCACACACATAGAACTTCCAGGTCAGAGTGGGTGTCAGATATCATCACCTTACTTTGAGCATGTTTATCCAACAGCTGTTTCAAGGTGGTTTCATAGCACTCACATAGAACTTCCAGGTCAGAGTGGGTGTCAGATATCAAAATTGATACAACAAGATCTTTCTAGACTTCTCTCTGTTAATCTTCTTCATATTCCGACAAGTGACATACTTCTTAGACTTGACAGGCTTGTCTTAAGTAACTGACAGTTTTATGAAGAAGTGATCAGACATTAGTTTATTGTCAACCGTTACAGTAGAAATGACAGAGTTTGGCTCTCTAATTAGGCCCCAATCCAGAATGTGTTGGATTGAAACATACGTTTCTTGATACTTTGTACATTTGCCTGTGTACCTCCAGGTTTGTTTTGCGCCATTTTAACCCTGATTTGCGACGATCTGCCTTGGCTGCTTTTATTTCCTTTGTATACCACGGTGCAGATTCTCTATCAGAGACCATCTTCACCTTACTTTGAGCATGTTTATCCTACAGCTGTTTCAAGGTGGTTTCATAACACTCACATAGAACTTCCAGGTCAGAGTGGATGTCAGATATCATCACCTTACATTTTGAGCATGTTTATCCTACAGCTGTTTCAAGGTGGTTTCATGACACTCACATAGAACTTCCAGGTCAGAGTGGGTGTCAGATATCATCACCCTACTTTGAGCATGTTTATCCAACAGCTGTTTCAAGGTGGTTTCATAGCACACACATAGAACTTCCAGGTCAGAGTGGGTGTCAGATATCAAACTTGATACAACAAGATCTTTTCTAGACTTCTCTCTGTTAATCTTCTTGATATTCAGACAAGTGACATACTTCTTAGACTTGACAGTTTGTCACAAGTAATTGACAGTTTTATGAAGAAGACCATTGATCAGACATTAGTTTATTGTGTACATGTATAGCCAGTCATTGAACCAGCGCATTAGTTTATTGTCAACCGTTACAGTAGAAATGACAGAGTCTGGCTCTCTAATTAGGACCCAATCCAGAATGTGATGGATTGAAACATATTTTATTCATTGAAGAAAAGGATTGGGCACAAGTTATCCAACTTAATGACGCCCTCTCCCAATATTTACAACAATTATATATACATAAGAAACAGAGAACATATATAGGTCCGTCTCCTATTCTCGCGGGTCTCCTATTCTCGCGGTAAACACGTTTTCTGCCAAAATCGCCGATGCGCAACACTTACCGGTTGTTTACATCACCGACTGGTAACTAGGAAGTGGACCAAGTCGGTGAATGATCAAAATCTTGCAGTGTCACGAATATTGGGGAGTTTATACCAACTTGGACATATCATTACTTTTTCTCGCCCTTTCCGGCAGGATTGCTCTTACATACACTCAATAACGTTAATTCCTGGTAACACCGCGAGAATGGGAGAAGCCTCGTTTCGTCAATGGCGGATGGCATTGTTTATCACCGGGCTCACGAGTGGTAATTTACCTGATGGATCTGGCAGCTGATAGATGCAGATGTTAGAGGAGAAGGCCCTTCATTATCTTCACCTTACTTCGAGCATGTTTATCCTACAGCTGTTTCCAAGGTGGTTTCATAACACTCACATAGAACTTCCAGGTCAGAGTGGATGTCAGATATCATCACCTTTACTTTTGAGCATGTTTATCCTACAGCTGTTTCAAGGTGGTTTCATGACACTCACATAGAACTTCCAGGTCAGGAGTGGGTGTCAGATATCATCACCCTACTTTGAGCATGTTTATCCAACAGCTGTTTCAAGGTGGTTTCATAGCACACACATAGAACTTCCAGGTCAGAGTGGGTGTCAGGATATCATCACCTTACTTTGAGCATGTTTATCCAACAGCTGTTTCAAGGTGGTTTCATAGCACTCACATAGAACTTCCAGGTCAGAGTGGGTGTCAGATATCATCACCTTACTTTTTGAGCATGTTTATCCAACAGCTGTTTCAAGGTGGTTTCCATAGCACTCACATAGAACTTCCAGGTCAGAGTGGGTGTCAGATATCATCCCCTTACTTTGAGCATGTTTATCCAACAGCTGTTTCAAGGTGGTTTCATAGCACTCACATAGAACTTCCAGGTCAGAGTGGGTGTCAGATATCATCACCTTACTTTGAGCATGTTTATCCAACAGCTGTTTCAAGGTGGTTTCATAGCACACACATAGAACTTCCAGGTCAGAGTGGGTGTCAGATATCATCACCTTACTTTGAGCATGTTTATCCAACAGCTGTTTCAAGGTGGTTTCATAGCACTCACATAGAACTTCCAGGTCAGAGTGGGTGTCAGATATCAAAATTGATACAACAAGATCTTTTCTAGACTTCTCTCTGTTAATCTTCTTCTTATTCCGACAAGTGACATACTTCTTAGACTTGACAGGCTTGTCTTAAGTAACTGACAGTTTTATGAAGAAGTGATCAGACATTAGTTTATTGTCAACCGTTACAGTAGAAATGACAGAGTTTGGCTCTCTAATTAGGCCCCAATCCAGAATGTGTTGGATTGAAACATACGTTTCTTGATACTTTGTACATTTGCCTGTGTACCTCCAGGTTTGTTTTGCGCCATTTTAACCCTGATTTGCGACGATCTGCCTTGGCTGCTTTTATTTCCTTTGTATACCACGGTGCAGATTCTCTATCAGAGACCATCTTCACCTTACTTTGAGCATGTTTATCCTACAGCTGTTTCAAGGTGGTTTCATAACACTCACATAGAACTTCCAGGTCAGAGTGGATGTCAGATATCATCACCTTACTTTGAGCATGTTTATCCTACAGCTGTTTCAAGGTGGTTTCATGACACTCACATAGAACTTCCAGGTCAGAGTGGGTGTCAGATATCATCACCCTACTTTGAGCATGTTTATCCAACAGCTGTTTCAAGGTGGTTTCATAGCACACACATAGAACTTCCAGGTCAGAGTGGGTGTCAGATATCAAACTTGATACAACAAGATCTTTTCTAGACTTCTCTCTGTTAATCTTCTTGATATTCAGACAAGTGACATACTTCTTAGACTTGACAGTTTGTCACAAGTAATTGACAGTTTTATGAAGAAGTGATCAGACATTAGTTTATTGTCAACCGTTACAGTAGAAATGACAGAGTTTGGCTCTCTAATTAGGACCCAATCCAGAATGTGATGGATTGAAACATACAGTCAAATCCCCGATGAGTCGAATGCCGTAAGTGTCTCGAATATAATGCATAACACGAAGTACCTGTCGGTCCCGACCATTTCCATGCTGTTTTTGTCATCATTTGAGTTCCGGTTACACGAATTCGTCTCATAAATACACACGATGACTCGAAATGGAAATTTGGTCCCTTGAGATTCAAACAATAGTAATCTTGTATACATAAGCCGAAGTCAGTCCCTGAGAAGTTAATTGGTGATCCAACTACATGTAACTGATCCAATTAACAAACCAGCGCGGCTCGCACCTTTCCGCTATTGTCGGGTGAGTTCAAAAGGCAGATTAGTGATTTTACGGAAGCGGAAGAATTAGCACATGACATTGAGTTAACTCAAAGTGCGGAATAAAGGAATTATTCAATATTGAATCATCTTTTTTTTCTACCCTCATGTCTCAATGGAATACATCGATAAAGCCGGATCTTTTACTTGGTCCCCAGCGATTCGACTCATCGGATTTTGACTATTTTATTCATTGAAGAAAAGGATTGGGCACAAGTTATCCAACTTAATGACGCCCTCTCCCAATATTTACAACAATTATATATACATAAGAAACAGAGAACATATATAGGTCCGTCTCCTATTCTCGCGGGTCTCCTATTCTCGCGGTAAACACGTTTTCTGCCAAAATCGCCGATGCGCAACACTTACCGGTTGTTTACATCACCGACTGGTAACTAGGAAGTGGACCAAGTCGGTGAATGATCAAAATCTTGCAGTGTCACGAATATTGGGGAGTTTATACCAACTTGGACATATCATTACTTTTTCTCGCCCTTTCCGGCAGGATTGCTCTTACATACACTCAATAACGTTAATTCCTGGTAACACCGCGAGAATGGGAGAAGCCTCGTTTCGTCAATGGCGGATGGCATTGTTTATCACCGGGCTCACGAGTGGTAATTTACCTGATGGATCTGGCAGCTGATAGATGCAGATGTTAGAGGAGAAGGCCCTTCATTTAAAAACAACAAGCATTCATACGATAAGAATTGTTTGTGGGTTTTTTTCAGCTGATATCCATAAGTACCGCGAGCATAGGAAACGCCTTCCTATACGAGAGATCTTGAGTTTGAGAATATAACAGATTAGGATGAACAGAGGAATCGTTTAGTTTGATTGATGTAACGATGGACATGTTTAAAGATATTCAGATTTTCTTCAGCTGAGAGGTCTGCATTGCCATATAAAATAAGACATATATCTAGAAAATATCTATTTTGTAAAATATCACTTATGTTAGCTAACAAAGTTTCTCTATGTAATCCAGAATGTGCCTAGATCGGTGTGTTCCAGCATCAACGAGTTCACGTAAATCATATGATTCTAAGAGTTTCATAAACTTCTTAGTCTCTGGACATGGCCACGTTCACATAACTTTTCTTTATGTTCATGTTCATAAATTTTGCTTTTGTGTGAATTTTAATACTATATGAAAATGTTAACTTTCCTAAATCTTGCGCAATCTTACTGTAGGAAATATTGCACAAAATGTCCACTTTCTAGAATCGTGCATACACCTTTTTGTTCATGTCATTTATGTGCAACACTGTATATAAATGTCTGTTTCATAAACCCTCGCTAAACAAATCACTTTGAAAGCATAATTGTGGTGTATATAAATGCTAGCGGTGTCAACTTTGCATATAAATGTCCCTTGTATGAACTGGTATGTGTCGAAATCTCCAAATATTGGACCATGAGAGGTATCAGATCACAGTAACCATCTCAACTGGGCAGTGAGAGGTATCAAAGCACAGTAACGACCTCATTTGGTCAAAGAGAGGTATTAAAGTACAGTAACCACCTCTGATTGGTCAATGAGTGGTATCTAATCACAGTAACGACCTCAATTGGTCAAAGAGAGGCATTAAAGCACAGTAACCACCCCTGATTGGTCAGTGAGTGGTATATAATCACAGTATCCACCTCTGATTGGGTAATGGGTGGTATCAAATCACAATAAGCAGCTCTGAATGGGTTGGAGAGAGCGAACTGTACCAGTGTTTGCTTACACCCACCATCCGCCTTTATTTACCGTCACACCCTCCCATCATCCTAAACACTACGATATATGTCGCATTTTGCATGCCGTCCCTCCATAAGAAATGAGTAACAAATATTTGAAAAATAGAATTTGAGCTGTGTCAATTTTGCTATGTGTTCGCCCATCCCTCCTACCTTACTGGTGTCAATTTTGCATAACCCTCTCGCACAAAAAGTTATGATCAGTTCCTAAACCGACAAGATTATATCGGCATCTAACTTTTGGAATCTACTTGAAGTTAACATAGATTCACGTCTTGACCACTAAGATTTAAAGCCTTATCTAAACACATGAATGCGGGGGTTATTTCCTGTAAGTCCCACCTCCGAATGATACAACTGGCATTTTAGAAAACATATTCTCTCTGTGTCTTTTAAGAGTATTCTTAAAAGTATTTACTATAGAACTGACTCTCACTTTGAGTGAGTTTATTTGAGTTCATAAAGCGAACTGTATGAACATCGGAGTTTGCGAAGTTCGATCAAAGGCACCAAATGATCAGAAAGAACTACCCAGGAATATGGAAGCAGTCCGTCTGTGTTACGTCATTTCAAGAATACAGGCTCGTGAAAAACGTGTTAACATCAAAGTGTGCCGTTCATATGAAAGTCAAATTCGCGAATATGTGGCAAGTCTAGATGAAGAAAGTCTCTGGGATCCTTTTCATTATAATTTGTATATCATATTCCTGAAGCCTCCTGTTATTAGCAATAAAGATCATTCTGCCGCAGACTGAAGTGTGCAGCCTGTGTCCAAATTTTAGTTTTTGTTCTAAGGTTGCTAAATCACCATCTACTGCTGTCCAGGGACGAGCTGCTTCCTCTTGTGGACGTGCAACACATGCATCAAGATGCTGACAGGACAAGATGATGATGAGTTGCAGAGTGTCTCCTTATATTCGGAAAAGTTTGAGATGAGTTACAGGTAGAGCTGCCTTCAGAAGAGAGTCCTACTGATGAGCAGGGCCGAGCTGCTTCTTCTTGTGGACGTGCACCAAATGCATCAAGATGCTAGCGCAGTCAGGCAGGATGATGATGAGAGCTGCCGTAACAAGCAGTATGATGGCTACTCCTCCCACGCTCTGGGCAGACGGGCGTTCGTCTTCAGCGCTGGACTTCTTCCTCCGATACGAGGGGAGGTTCTTCTTGTCCAGGGTGAGGTCAGTAACAATGTCGTCTGTTCGCTTCTTTCTTTCTGCAACGGTGAACGTCTGTACCGCCACACACACCTCGTAGACATACCTACCAGGGGGAGATAACTGTCGGGGTAGAGGCAGATCTGGAACTGGTTTGAGCTGCTTTAAGACGAGACAGAAAAGTGTCGACAGAAGGTGGGAAGGATGTCCCTGTGGCATTGTTTGAAGGCGCAGTCGTTGAAGTTGTTGAAGTAACGGGGATAGATGTTGGAGTGTCAGTGTCTTTTTGTAGCCGTAGTTGTAATAGTAGGAGTAACCTCAGCTGTTGGAGATGATGCAGTTGATGTTGTTGTGGTAACGGTAGGGGTAACTGATGACGTAACGGCGCTGTCTGATGTAGATGTTGTAGTTGTTGGTATTGTGGGTGTTGTTGTAGTAGTAGTTGATGTTGTGGTAACGGTAGGGGTAACTGAGGACGTAACGGCGCTGTCTGATGTAGATATTGCAGTTGTTGGTATTGTGGTTGTAGTTGTTTCGAGTGTTGTTGATATCATAACGGTCGTGTCTGGCGTTGTTGATGTCGTTGCGGATGTGGATGTTATAGTTTCAACGGTTGTGCCTATCATAGACGTTGTCGGAGTAACTGCTGGTGTTTCCGTTGTCGTCACCTCTGTTATGCTGCAGTTAGGAAATGAATCCGCAGGGCCTGTGACCTCGGATCCGGTAATGTCTGCAACTAAAGCAGAAGAATGTCAATGAAATGTCAGAAGGCAGAAATAGCAAGCGATTGAAACGTCAAGGTAAAGTAATATTAGGGGACTTTTTTTAGACACAAATAGAGGTTAATGTCTGGGCAAAGGAAAGTCACAAGAATGAAAGTAAATAACAGGGGGCGCAAATGACACGTCAATGAAATGTCAGAGGGCGGGAGTGTCAGGCGATGGAAACGACAAGGGTAATATTTAGGGAAGTAAACGTCAATGTAAGGTAATGTCAGGGAAATACACGTCAGCAGAAAGGAAGCAACATTGAAAGCTAACGTCAGGGGAAGGAAACGTCAATGAAAGCTAACGTCAGGAGAAGGAAACGTCAGTGAAAGCTAACGTCAGGGGAAGGAAACGTCAGTGAAACCTAACCTCAGGGGAAGGAAACGTCAGTGAGAGCTAACGTCAGGGGAAGGAAATGTCAATGAAAGCTAACGTCAGGGGAAGGACACGTCAATGAAACCTAACCTCAGGGGAAGGAAACGTCAGTGAGAGCTAACGTCAGGGGAAGGAAATGCCAATGAAAGCTAACGTCAGGGGGAAGGAAACGTCAGTGAAAGCTAACGTCAGGGGAAGGAAACGTCAATGAAAGCTAACGTCAGGGGAAGGAAACGTCAGTGAAAGCTAACGTCAGGGGAAGGAAACGTCTATGAAAGCTAACGCCAGGGGAAGGAAACATCAGTGAAACCAAATCTCAGAGGAAGGAAACGTCAGTGAAACCTAACCTCAGGGGAAGGAAACGTCAATGAAAGCTAACGTCAGGGGAAGGAAACGTCAGTGAAAGCTAACGTCAGGGGAAGGAAACGTCAGTGAAAGCTAACGTCAGGGGAAGGAAACGTCTATGAAAACTAACGCCAGGGGAAGGAAACGTCAGTGAAACCAAATCCCAGAGGAAGGAAACGTCAGTGAAACCTAACCTCAGGGGAAGGAAACGTCAATGAAAGCTAACGTCAGGGGAAGGAAACGTCAATGAAAGCTAACGTCAGGGGAAGGAAACGTCAGTGAAAGCTAACGTCAGGGGAAGGAAACGTCAGTGAAAGCTAAAGTCAGGGGAAGGAAACGTCAGTGAAAGCTAACGTCAGGGGAAGGAAACATCAGTGAAAGCAAAAGTCAGGGGAAGGAAACGTCAGTGAAAGCTAACGTCAGGGGAAGGAAACGTCAGTGAAAGCTAACGTCAGGGGAAGGAAACGTCTATGAAAGCTAACGCCAGGGGAAGGAAACGTCAGTGAAACCAAATCCCAGAGGAAGGAAACGTCAGTGAAACCTAACCTCAGGGGAAGGAAACGTCAATGAAAGCTAACGTCAGGGGAAGGAAACGTCAATGAAAGCTAACGTCAGGGGAAGGAAACGTCAGTGAAAGCTAACGTCAGGGGAAGGAAACATCAGTGAAAGTTAACGTCAGGGAAAGGAAATGCCAATGTAATGTAACGTCAATGAAAGGTAATGTCAGGGGTCGAAATGATCAGATGTCGGATACAAAGTGAGGAAACGTCAACGGATGGGAACGTCGACCCAAAACGCCAATTGGCGGAAAAATCAAATTAAAGTAACGTAAGTTTAAGGAAACGTCAATGGCAGGAAACGTCAGTGAGGAAAAAAAACGCAAGGTGACGGAAAATCATATTAAGGTAACGCCAGTGGAAGGAAACATAAGGGGAAGGTAACGTCAGTGGCAGGACATTTCAGTGAAAAAACAGTCAGGTTACGGAAACATCAAATTAAGGCAACGTCAGTGGAAGGAAACGACAAGGAAGGTAACGTGACCTAAAGGAAACGTCTTTGAAATAAATCATCAAAGGAAGGTAACATAAGGGGAAGGAAACGCCAATGGAAGTCACGGAAAGTTAACAATAACTGAAGGTAACAACAATGAAAGGTAACGTCAGTTAAATAAAACATCTGGTGACGAAAAATTCAAATGAAAGTAGCGTCAATTGACGGGAAAATCTTGATAAGGTAACGTGAATGAAAGGTAACGTGAGTGAGCATCAGGGAAAAAAACGTCAGTGGAAGGACACGTTAGAGGAAGGTCACGTCAGTGGAAGGACACGTACGAGGAAGGACACAACAGGGGAAGGTCACGTTAGACGAAGGTCATGTCAGTGGAAGGACACGTACGAGGAAGGACACGACAGGGGAAGGTCACGTTAGACGAAGGTCACGTCAGTGGAAGGACACGTACGAGGAAGGACACGACAGGGGAAGGTCACGTTAGACGAAGGTCATGTCAGTGGAAGGACACGTACGAGGAAGGACACGACAGGGGAAGGTCACGTTAGACGAAGGTCACGTCAGTGGAAGGACACGTAAGAGGAAGGTTACGTCAGAGGAATGTAACGTCAGGGAAAAGAAGCGTCAGTGGAAGGTCACGCCAGAGGAAGGGAGGACACGTCAGTGGAAGGTCACGTCAGAGGAAGGGAGGCTCAGAGAAGGTCATGTCAGTGGAAGGACACGTTAGAGGAAGGGAGAATCACCGAATAGAATCGTCAGCGAAAGGTAACGTGATGGATTTTTACGGTGTTGCATGACTATTTGCATTGGAAGAATACAAGAAATACCTACATTTGAAGCATCGTCTTCTGCCTGTGATGAACATCCTGTTTTCCTGTAGTGTCTCACACATATACGGATCAGACCCAAACAAAAGGTTGCATTGTCTGAAAATGTTGTTGTATTCATACGCCCAACAGACGTCCTTTCCGTCCATGTCCTCTTGACAACGAGTTGCGCATGCGTCTTCCGCCATCGTCTTTGACAAGAGCACTCCACCCATTTCACATTTTTGTCCAAGTTCTTTCTCGAAGGTACAGTCAACTGTTTACGGAACAGACAATATTTAAATGATAAGAAAACAAGCTAAATTAATCATCACGAATCGGTTCGGGTAAAGGTTTATAGTGTATATATACAATAAACGTGTGCCACAAACTATTAGGGAAGAAATGAGAGAGGGGCCTGAAATTTACAGATCAACTTAAATACATGTATACCGAGATTATTATATTTCCAAATGATATCGTGTCACTGGATTGGAGGCAGCCATAGTAAATAAAACGTAAAGTAAGTTTGTTAGGAAAACACTTGTAACAAACTGATGGGTGGAACGAGCTGTGTAGTCGGACCCGGTTACTTCCTGTACATTCAAGTATGAAATGCGTAAAACGAACTGAGAGTAACGGCCGCATTAAATTGTGGGACATTGGTCAAAATAACGTGCAAGACTGTGGCATAAATACCGATTTTAAACAAAGGAAGCATGCGGCAACCGAACAAAAACACGAATATGCTAAGGCGGCGTACGCAAGCGTAACTAGACGATCGCATTCGTCACCACTCGCCCCTTTCAGTAACCTTCAAGAAGACTCGTCCCCCCCCATTCGTCACCACTCGCCCCCTTTCCGTGAAGACTCCCCACCCCACCCCCCTCCGATGCTTGTTATGTGCGAAAATACGACAAACCAATCAGAACGCGCGTAATGGCTGCGGTGCTTTGATAAAAATGATCCCGACTACTTTAGTGGCAGTGGACGACAGTAGATTGACCAATTGATCTACAGTTACTGAAAACTGACCAGAAACTTCATCTTCAATGGTTCCACTGTCATATAACTTACAAATTCCAAGTGTGTTTAATGGCGTGGAAATCTGCAAATTTCTATTTTCTTGGAAAGTGTTATGACCTTTAAGTAACTGATCTTGTTTAAATGGCATCCTCTTGAAGTTCATGCTCATCACGTTGTTACAATAGTATCCTTCTCTTGCAAGTACATGGATGTTGTTTTTGATATTGTTAATGCCTTTTTCTTCACCTGCCGTAAATATTTTGTACAATGTTCATGAATCAACCGTTTATTGACAACGGTATAAGATTCTATACACAAAACAAACACCCTTCTTACAGTAAAGTAAAGATGCTATCTTTAACATTTCGTGTACTTTGAAAGAGATCCAGATATCATTTCAAATGTTTGTGGATTAATGGATACAGCCCACAGCGAACATAGGTGTGTTCACACCGCAGCCCACACTATTCTATGACATAAAGAATTATTACGGGGTATTCCAGATAATTTAGTGTAATTACCGTTGGCGACGCTTTCACAGAAGAAGCTATGGGTTTGAGTACAGGGCCTCGTCTTCCACTTGTATCCAGGGGAGGTAATTATGCAACGGTGAGTCTGAACAAAGTTGGGCTCCCCGCGACGCCACATGGAGTTGCTGTCGTCGAGGTGTTTGCAGTCATCCCATATGTACACAGGGACGTCCGACGTCGGTGCAGCGTTGTACAAACCCATCCAGATCATGCGTGAACTGTCCAGGGAAAGAATGAAACTCAGGTAACACAACGTTTTCGCAACGTTGTGGGAAGGTTGTAGTATTACGTCATTTCATAGCGTTAAGTCACAGCGTAATAACAGCGTTGCAAATTTATGTTGAGGAAACATTATGCTTAGTCTGCTCATAACGTTATAACAACATTTCTTATAATTTGGTGTCACTATCAAGTTTTCTGTAAAACTTTTCACTTTGAGATTTTTTTTCACTATTCAGCTATAGCTTCAGAAAGCATACGACCAAACTATGCATAGTCCATGAGGGATAGATAAAAACCCTATGATTTATACCAGGTCTGCTGTCTTATAAACGACGCCCCTGTCTCGTGTCGCCGCCGTGATATTGCTGGAATGTTGCTAAAACCGTGATATTGCTGGAATATTGCTAAAATCGTGATAGTGCTGGAATATTACTAAAACCGTGATATTGCTGGAATATTGCTAAAATCGTGATAGTGCTGGAATATTGCTAAAACCGTGATATTGCTAGAATATTGATGAAACCGTGATATTGCTGGAATATTGCTAAAACCGTGATATTGCTGGAATATTGCTAAAACCGTGATGTTGCTGGAATATTGAGTGCTGAATACTGCTAAAACCGTGATATTGCTGGAATATTGCTAAAACCGTGATATTGCTGGAATATTGCCAAAACCGTGATATTGCTGGAATATTGCTAAAACGTGATATTGCGATATACCGTGATTGCTGGAATATTACTAAAACCGTGATATTGCTGGAATATTGCTAAAACCGTGATATTGCTGGAATATTACTAAAACCGTGATATTGCTGGAATATTGCTAAAATCGTGATAGTGCTGGAATATTACTAAAACCGTGATATTGCTGGAATATTGCTAAAACCGTGATATTGCTGGAATATTGCCAAAACCGTGATATTGCTGGAATATTGCTTAAACCGTGATATTGCTGGAATATTGCTAAAACCGTGATATTGCTGGAATATTGCTAAAATCGTGATAGTGCTGGAATATTGCTAAAACCGTGATATTGCTGGAATATTACTAAAACCGTGATAGTGCTGGAATATTACTAAAACCGTGATATTGCTGGAATATTGCTAAAACCGTGATATTGCTGGAATATTGCTAAAACCGTGATATTGCTGGAATATTGCTAAAACCGGAATATTGCTAAAACTGTGATAAAACCGAATATTGCGTGATATTGCTGGTGATAGTGCTGGAATAACTAAAACCGTGATATTGCTGGAATATTACTAAAATTGCTGGAAAACTAAAACCGTGATAGTGCTGGAATATTGCTTAAACCGTGATATTGCTGGAATATTGCTAAAACCGTGATATTGCTTGAAAACCGTGATATCGTGCTGGAATATTACTAAAACCGTGATATGAATATTGCTGGAATATTGCTAAAACTGTGATATTGTGATAGTTAAACCGTGATATTGCTGGAATATTGCTAAAACCCGTGATATTGCTGGAATATTACTAAAACCGTGATATTGCTGGAATATTACTAGAACCGTGATATTGCTGGAATATTGCTAAAATCGTGATGATATTGCTGGAATAGATATTGCTGATTGCTACAAAAACCGTGATATTGCTGGAATATGCCAAACCGCTAAAATATTGCTAAAACCGTGATATTGCTGGAATATTACTAAAACCGTGATAGTGCTGGAATATTACTAAAACCGTGATAGTGCTGGAATATTGCTAAAATCGTGATATTGCTGGAATATTGCTAAACCGTGATAGTGCTGGAATATCGTGATGCTGAAGTGCTAAAAACCGTGATATTGGAATATTACTAAAACCGTGATATTGCTGGAATATTGCTAAAACCGTGATAGTGCTGGAATATTACTAAAACCGTGATAGTGCTGGAATATTGCTGGAATATTGCTAAAACCGTGATATTGCTGGAATATTGCTTAAACCGTGATAGTGCTGGAATATTACTAAAACCGTGATATTGCTGGAATATTGCTAAAACCGTGATAGTGCTGGAATATTGCTAAAAAGTGCTGGAATATTACCGTGATATTGCTGGAATATTACTAAAACCGTGATATTGCTGGAATATTACTAAAATCGTGATATTGCTGGAATATTGCTAAAACCGTGATAGTGCTGGAATATTACTAAAACCGTGATAGTGCTGGAATATTACTAAAACCGTGATATTGCTGGAATATTGCTAAAATCGTGATAGTGCTGGAATATTACTAAAACCGTGATAGTGCTGGAATATTGATGAAAGCGGCCTAAACCATGCTGACTTACTCACAAACTCATTATTAAAGAATACACCCCTTACCCATCTAACATGCATTGGGGCGGTTGGGTAGCCTTATGGTAAAGCGTCCGGTCGTCACGCTGAAGACCGGGTTCGATTCCCCACATGGGTACAACATGTGAAGCCCATTTCTGGTGTCCCCCGCCGTGATATTGCTGGAATATTGCAAAAAGCGGCGTAATCCCATACTCACTCACTCACTCACTCACTCACTCTAACATGTATTTCAAAACGACTTACACAGCTGCGGCCTCCGGCTGAGCACGGATATACTTGAGTACGTTGATGATGACTTTGTTGTCGACCGTGATGAGATGACCCCTCGCGAGAGAGCAGGTAGTGTAGGCTGTGTTCCATGATACGGCGGTCGTACTGTACGTAAAGTACCGAGCCGTGTAGCTGGCTGCGTGTGTACCTGCAAGCGGCAGGCAATGGGGATGTAGTATCTCACAAGGGGTACAGTCGCTCATACAGATCCTAAAACACAATATGAATCGAGACTTTCACAGTTTCTGGAATTTCACGTGTTACTACAAGCATGGGTCCCTATCCTCAAAACGTTCGTAGCGCTACGACATTCGCAAGCCTGTGAATAACTATGTACTTACGACAGGTCGTAACGTTACGAATGCTTTGTGGATCGGGACCATGGTTTGTAACCCTGATCTTCACGCAGCCAAGTAATACTTAACTTTTGATGTGGTGAAAACCTACCGCCTACCTTATACCGCCTTCCTTATACGGCCTTCCCTATCGCCTTCCCTATACCACCTTCCCTATACGGCCTTCACTACCGCCTTCCCTATACCGCCTTCCTTATACCGCCTAACTTATACGGCCTTCACTACCGCCTTTCCTATACCGCCTTTCTTATACGGCCTCACTACCGCATTTCCTATACCGCCTTCCCTATACCGCTTCACACCAACACACTAGGGCTGTACATTACGATTCGGTTCGATACATCGAAAATCGAATCTGACACCTTAGTTTCGATTTTCGATAACCATTATCACTATTTCGATTCAATATTTGAATACCTATTTAAATTATTTCCACAAAGCCTGAACGCAATTTTGACTCCAACAGTTTCGAGCTCTAAAATAAGGCGAAACGTGATTGGTTGACGCCGGGTTAACTATCCAATGAGAACTGTAGACGTCGACAAGTTGACGATAGATTTCACGCTAAAAGAGCCCACCCTGAGAGTTAAACGAAATCTGATGTTTTTACTTGTATGAAGAATCGAATCGAAAATGATCGAATCGAGGGTCCAAAATCGAAAATCGAATCGAATCGAGGTCTAGGTGAATCGGTGCAGCCATACAACGCACGTTACAGGACAATACATCTTTACGTTTCCTAGCTAATTCTCTGCTTTAAGGTGAAAAAAGGCAGTAGTATGATAAACACTAACACGATAGGAATGACTGATGCATAAAGGTTGGCTGTCTGTCTCTGTCTGTCTGTCTGTCTGTCTGTCTGTCACTGTGTCTCTCTCTCTCTCAATTTCTCTCAATTTACAGGCATTAAACAGAAACCTACAATGGAAGTTTAATCTTGGAAAGAAACACTTAACCATCTCATAGTTCTATAGTTCTGGAGCAATACGCTTGGCTATAGTGTTTCTGCTACTCCTCCCTGGGCGGTGAAGTAGCCTAGAGGTTAAAGCGTTCGCTCGTCATGCCGAAGGTCCAGGTTCGATTGTGTGAAACTGTATTACAATGTGTGAAACCCATTTTTGGTTTTCCTGGCGCGGCATAAAACAAAACTCACACACTAACTCCTGCTTGTGGCAGTTATATCTCAGGTTATGTTCTTTTCCAGTTCAGGGATTGTCCTACCTTAACTCGATAAACACTGATTTACATGAGTTAAGTCCAACCAAATCTGAATCCAGTCAATGACATTAGAACGCCAGTACTTACCACAGGTGCTGATACAAACAACCAGGCAACCGATAGCTTCACACAGGAGCTCCATCTGGTAAAATAATAATTATACTTTACTCCAGGTAACCGATAGCTGCACACAGGAGCTCCATCTGGTAAAATAATAATTATACTTTACTCCAGGTATCCGATAGCTGCACACAGGAGCTCCATCTGGTAAAATAATAATTATACTTTACTCCAGGTATCCGATAGCTGCACACAGGAGCTCCATCTGGTAAAATAATAATTATACTTTACTCCAGGTATCCGATAGCTGCACACAGGAGCTCCATCTGGTAAAATAATAATTATACTTTACTCCAGGTATCCGATAGCTGCACACAGGAGCTCCATCTGGTAAAATAATAATTATACTTTACTCCAGGTATCCGATAGCTGCACACAGGAGCTCCATCTGGTAAAATAATAATTATACTTTACTCCAGGTAACCGATAGCTGCACACAGGAGCTCCATCTGGCAAAATAATAATTATACTTTACTCCAGGCATCCGATAGCTGCACACAGGAGCTCCATCTGGTAAAATAATAATCATACTTTACTCCAGGTATCCGATAGCTGCACACAGGAGCTCCATCTGGTAAAATAATAATTATACTTTACTCCAGGTATCCGATAGCTGCACACAGGTGCTCCATCTGGTAAAATAATAATTATACTTCACTCCAGGTATCCGATAGCTGCACACAGGTGCTCCATCTGGTAAAATAATAATTATACTTCACTCTTATAATACAATGTTACAGAGTCTTCCTACCATTTTTCGTAACTTTAGCAATTATTGGTGGAATATTACTAAACACAGTTTTAAACCATGCTCAATCGCCGTACCTTACACCTATTAAGATGCCCATCGCTTATTATAGGAAATATGGTTCACATTACTGATTATGCTCTGCTCAGGACTCATGCTTTACTGTAAAAGTTGAGGTCATAACTATGCCATATATCAATACACCTTTGATGACGTAATGTGTTAAGCCCATTTCTGGTGTCCCCCGCCGTGATATTGCTGGAATATTGCTAAACGCGGCGTAAAACTAAACTCAGTCAGTCAGTTTGATGACGTAAATCACTAAAAAGATCAACAGAAGCGACTGTCACTATTCTTCTGCCATTCTTCCTGCCTCTGGTCAAACCTCCTCCCCTGTGACCTAACATGTATGGACCAGACAATCCAGTGATTGGCATCATGAGCATTTATCTGCTCAGTTGGCATACGATGACGTGCACCAACCAAATCAGCGTGTCTGACAACTCGTGTCCTCATGCTTCAGTTCTGTACACAATTATACCACCGGTAGGAAATAGGGGAACTCATGACTGACTGTAGCTGTCGTTGTGCATTTTCATCATCCTGCACGACCGACGTGTGAAGCACGTGTGAACACAGGGAGATTTATACTAATGTATTTGAGCTGAGCACACGTTTAAAAATACACAAGAATCTCAATGAACAGGCAAAATGGCGTCTTGTGGCCGCCATTCAAGGCGGTGGAGTGGAGACGGCGTGAATATACAAGTTGCATGAATGTGTGGCAAATCAAAAAGTGTAATTTCTCGACTGTCATGTTTTGAGACATGGGCGACTCATTAAATTAATTGCACTGTGAAAAAGATTTAAATCTATTGCGTTTATCAATAGGAAATTTCGAACAAAAACACAAGTCAAATTACAAAGGCTCCTCCATGCAGCCCGCCTGAAACTAAGTGAAGGGTGGTCCAAGCAGCGTACCATACAGGCGGCAACGATTGAGGTGGGCCAAGATGACCAGGGACTCACTATGCGCCAATGGCGTTACTCCATGTCCACATGGCAGAAGACAACGTTGCTGGCGATGTAGCGGCGAGCGGTATGCCCGGGCAGCAACTCTTGACCCTGTTCGGTATGGATCATGGTGTACGGCGGTATCGTACTTAACAGACGAACTTGTTTGGTCATTTTAAATGGACATTTCACTGACCAGGGGAAATTGTGCACCCTGACGTTGTGCCATTGTTACAATCATTACCAGAACATTTGAACTGTAAGATAACCTGCATCAGAGCACATCGTGCCCAGTTTGTACCACTATCTCTGACAAGAAGGTAAACGGACATGCGCATTGTATCACGTTCTCATTTTGCCACTTCCTGTTGACAAACGCATGCGAAGTCCCTGACATGTTCCCAGAAGAGAATATGTGGGATTTTCTTGGGGTCTGGTCCCATTTGTCGGGTTCCTTCAAATGTTCAGGCAGAGTGCTGCCAAAATGTATAGTGACCAAGTTTTGACCACAGTCCTTCTGTCATTTGTACTGCTACATGGCACTGGACCAACATTTCACCATAATCATCTACGTCCTATACTGCGGTTCTGACGAGCAACTTCTTATTGACAACTTCTTATTGACGTCTCGGACTGGCCTTCACGTTACCCAGACCTAAACCTGATGGAAACAAGAATCCCCTGGGCGACACTCAGTTGAGATCGACAGCTGGCACATGATGTTACGCAAACCTTTCGCTTCCCTCCAGGAATGGGTCAAACTTTTACCCACGTTACACAGGACGGCGACCGTTCTGTCTTCTTTGTGTGTTGTAAAAATATTTAGAACGCCTCTGAACGCTCGAAGCAGTCACGAAGAAGGCAGACTGATTGCGTAGGCCGTACAGAGGTCGTACAAAGAAGGCGCAGACATCGCGATGGACAGCACATAACGCCATGGTGACTGTAACGGTCGACGGGGTGGCTGGAGAGGTATGTACTACGACATTGTGGGTATGTGGATCTCTCCCTTCCAGCCACAGCAACACAACAGTTTTAACTAGTAAATAATTTCACAAGTCATAAAAGTTACCAACAGCAAAATGTATTATATACAATTATAGCAAACTTCTAACAGTAAAGACAATATGCAATCGCGCCGCCCAAAGCGTTACTCTACAAGTTATAAGGTACAGTACAATTATATATAGTTACAACAGTAGAAATATTTTACATGCGCTTCATTGAGTAGAGTGCCTCCAGCAAGCCGGGTGTAAACTTACAGGTTATTCATGGTGTTCTTCCCTACGATGGAGATGCAACCATCCAACTCTCAGTGATTCGTCTATCTCCTTCAACCGTTAATCGAAGAATCTCTCGTCTCCGTTATTTCTATTGTGACGTAAATCCTGGATACGAAACCTTCTAAAACACCTCGCTATGACGTCACAACATGGCGGCGCCCATGTCGAGACGTAGCTTACCTGAGGCAGCACAAGTCAACACCAAAGTCGCTACATAAATTACGCCACATCAGGTAGACTGATGGAACGAGGTGAAGAGAAGGCTTGGATCTGTTTTACATACTAATTCCAACGGTATGAGCCCTCGTAATCTTAAGATCACGGTAAACTATATGTTGCAGTGCACTGGCACGGAACAACACTACATGGACAGTGCAACTGATACCGCGGGAATTAGTATACCCAAAATACGTCATAAATAGTAAAGATATTTATATAGGGTAATTATTATCGATTACCCTGTACATTACAATATCCCCTCTTTTATTTTTAAATCGTCTCGATTTACTGACATAAGATGTAAAGTATTTGAGAAGAGGATATACATATATACAAAGGTATGGTAATTATGATATATACAGTACATTCATACAGATAATAATACTGGCATAATGTGGAATTCATATAGCATACAATCAAGAAAACTTACCTATTTACCATTCCCAAGAATTATACACAATCATCACAAACATACATATATCTTCCACAGTTCCAGACTAAATACAGTTCAAAATAGTAAGGTCAACCCAGTTCAGCAGAGAGATCCATAGATAGTTCCAGAGAGAGATCCAGAGATAGCTCCAGAGAGATCCAGAGATAGTTCCAGAGACATCCAGAGATAGCTCCAGAGAGAGGTCCAGAGATAGTTCCAGAGAGAGATCCAGAGATAGTTCCAGAGAGAGATCCAGAGATAGTTCCAGAGAGATTCAGAGATAGCTCCAGAGAGATCCAGAGATAGTTCCAGAGAGACATCCAGAGATAGTTCCAGAGAGAGATCCAGAGATAGTTCCAGAGAGATAGTTCCAGAGAGATCCAGAGATAGTTCCAGAGAGATCCAGAGATAGCTCCAGAGAGATCCAGAGATAGTTCCAGAGAGAGATCCAGAGATAGCTCCAGAGATAGCTCCAGAGATCAGGGCCCCGTTCCAGAAAGCGATCGTAGCGCAAAGGTGATCGTAACTCCCATACTTTAACATAGACTTACGACTGTCGTAGCGCTACGATCGCTTTGAGGAACGGGGTCCTGGACATAGTTCCAAAATTGCGAAGTATAACGGCAGCTTACTTGGTCATTATTCGGATGTAGGCATCTGCTTGTCTGCGCAAAGTTAACTGCTCATTGAACCGTTTGTCCTCTGCCTCGGTATTCCAACGGTATGAGCTCTCGTAATCTTAAGATCACGGTAAACTATATGTTGCAGTGCACTGGCACGGAACAACACTACATGGACAGTGCAACTGATACCGCGGGAATTAGTATACCCAAAATACGTCATAAATAGTAAAAATATTTATATAGGGTAATTATTATCGATTACCCTGTACATTACACTGACTATATTGAGCATGTACAAAACAAACGCAGAGCGGTCGCCGAGAAGTTGCACAAATGACGCTCGAACAAGGCAAAAAGGAGGCAGAAGCATCGCCCTGCTCGCAGGAAGAACGCACAACGGTCGGCCGACGCTCGACGAAAGGACGCCATGTGATAGTTCCGTGAACCGGCGCGATACCTCTGCCTTCTTTCTGCCTTCCATGTGCGTTCTTTGAGCAACCAGTACCATGCGTTGAGCAATCACTGTGCCTTCGTCCGGCGACAACGGGGTCTCAGTCTTCTTCTTCTGCATCTATTTATCCTCCTTGTTAGGATGGCAATGGCTGTCTGGTTAAAAGTCATTGCTTGCTGACCTTGCAAAAACGGTATACATAAGCAGTTAATTGTTCATGCCCAGTTGTGGCGCAATGAGATGGTTTCGCT